CTCAAGCCGGCGACGTCGTTCACATCTCACCTCTTGCACTCACGAGTTGTGTTAATCAATAAGGTTCTAACGCTGTAAATTAATCACAAATCGAGAATGAAAGGAATCTCGCCTTCGAGCACGTTTCGGCAGCAATGACGAATGACATTTTCAATCATGGAGATCCTCTAACTATGCTCTTTTCGAGCTCTGCTTCTTGCTCTACTTCCACCAACGAAAACTGCGTGACAAAGACGTAGGCGATGATGATGTTACTCCAAATCGGTATGATTCTACAAGCTAGTTGTTGAGGCTCGCACGAAATGAAGCATTAGGTAAGATTGATCATTCTTGAATTCTATTGTAATCTTCAATTTGTCTTCATCTTCTTCTACGTGTGACCCTTGCATTGTTGTTGTGATATAGCGACAAAGATGAGTTTCTGAAACATGACGCTAAAGTTACAGGTGATGTTGATCTTGCAAGCTGTTGAAGATGTTTTTTGCGAGTTTTAATCTGTGATTCTATGATGGATTTGAAGGTATGCTGATGAAGGTTAATATTGAAGATTGGTGAAAATTGATGAAGAGGCAGAGAGTATCGGAAGCTCGAAAAAGAAGCTTTCTCCCTTTTACTATGTTGCTGCTTTTGCTTTTTTCCTGATATCAAAAGGAGTAGGATGGCATTCTTGGTTGAGTTTGTTAGGAGAACTTTTCAAAAGTGTCGTTTTTATTTTTTTTTTGTTCTCCTCTTATTTCTCTGCTTTTTATCCAAGATTCAACTTGCTCAACAAGTTTTACAGTATATAAATTTTGTCTTGTTGCAGGAAGAAAATGGTACATTGACATGCTGGTAATAGCAGGGTAGTGGTTTGCTGATTTTGTGTATGTCTTGGTCACACGAAAACGTCGTACAGGGTGTGAAACATTTGAAATGAGTTTGTATTTGGTGTGCTTACTGCGGTCTTCTTCGTGGCCTGTGAGGGTGGTAAAAGTTGTGGGAAGACTTGGCATGGGATAAGTTGTAGTTAACATATTTGTTTTATTTTGGAAATGGTGGTTGTAAATAACTAATGGGCCTAAACTCTTGATAAAAAAACTAGTAAATGGGCTTATGGTTGTATTGGTTCTTTTTGAGTTTTTTCTCAAGATGATATGGTAAAAGATATGAAGTGAATTTTGATCATGTGGTTTCAAGATTATTTTTAAAAAAAGGATATGATTCATGGACAAAAAAAATGATTATTGAAATAGTCGCAATAGTTTATGATGTCTTTGAATGTGGATTATAAACTAATGGGAGTGGATATGGTCATTTGAAAGAAAATTGGTCATTAAAAGTGGATCTAAAAAAACAAGTGAATTAGATATGGAGAATGGTTAGTTGGATATGGATATGAATTGTATGAAAACGAAATGACATAGAAAATGGATATTCGGTTAATGGACTTGCATCTTGAATTCTAAGTAAATCACATGGACCTTTCTAAACACACTTAATTCAAAACACACTTCCTATTCCAATCAATCTTTCATTCTTTATGGACCCCAAAATTCAAACAGTAAACCAAATTGACCATGGCCCAATGCCTTTCAAATCAAACCACAAACACTTTGTCCTGAATGCCACTGATCTTAACACGAAACCCTGGTCTTATGATCTTCAATTGTTAACTGCCCCTAAACTCATCCTTGAATGCACACTGATGTAGGAATGACTTGAATTGCTTAGAGGAATTCAAGCCCTAATCCACAGCCCTTCTTGGTTAAATCATAGATGACACCTCCATCTGTTCGCAGAACTTTAATTTTCTTTTCACCCTGGTTTTCGACAAGTATCTTGAATCTCATAAAGATTTCAAATACTTTGTCTTTTCGTTTGATCACATAGATCCAGAGCTTTTGACTGTACTCATTGACAAATGAGACGATCTACATGTTTCCACCAATAGTACGCTCTTCGAAAGTACCACATACATATGAATGTACAACTTTGAGTATGCAGGATGATCTCATTGGCATAGTCGAAACAAAAAACTTCCTGGACTGCTTTCTGACTAGACAACCTTCACAGAGTTTGTCAGACATCTTAAGACTTGGTATACTAGTTATAATATCTTGAGCGATCAATTGATTTAGCGACCTAAAGTTCAGATGGCTAAACCTCAGATGCCACAACCAACTATTCTTGTGGTCGACAACTATTTTCAAACGTTGTACCTCAGTCGAACTGATCAATGTCTTAAATGTTCTATTCTTCAACAGAGGAAATTTTAAGACCAAGTTATTATGGATGTCAAAAAGTTATAAGGCTCCATTTTTCATAACCACTAAGAATCCCTTTTCGACCATTTATCCAACATTTAGTATATTGCAATTTATTTCAGGGACATAGAGTACATCTTTGATCAAGGCTTTTTCTCTATTACTCATTTGAATAACTATGTTGCCAGTACCTTCTGCTAGCAACGAGCTATTATCAGCAAGTTTCACCTTACTCTTCTTCGACACGTCAAAATCTACTAACCATGTTTTTTTTACCAGTCATGTGATTCGAACAGCCTGAGTCGAGGAACCAGATCTTGGATTCAACATGGTCATCTAGAACTTCAGCCATAACCACCATATCATCAGAATCATATGAATCTTGACGTGCAAGATTCGCTCCTTCGTCCTTGTCTTTTGTCGAACCCTTGTTTTTCCTGTACCAACAATGCTTGGCCAAGTGACCATACTTTTCACAGTTATAGCACTACACACCTCTTTTCTCTACTTTGTATTTCTGATAGGAATTTCCTTATCCCCTTTTTGAGGATTCAGAAGTTCCATCATCAATCTTATTCTTGTGAGGATTCGACCAAGACTTCTTGCCCTGAGTCTTGTCGAATTTTCCTTTGAACTTGTTGGAACCACCATTCTTCTTCCATGATTGCACCTGTAGTGCTTATATAGAGTCTTGAACTCTTTTCCTTTCGACAATCCTAATCTCACGCACTTCCAACGAACCAACCAAATCTTCCAATTTGTTAGTGCATGAGGCACTTTTGGTGAGGAGAGAAAAAAAGAGAATAAAGAAAATAATGATTGATATTATTGAATGAATAGTTACAAATAATGATACATACTATGACTATTTATACACAACCCTAATTGGGCTTGGGTTAATACAACTTGGATTATATTTAAATATTAAATCTAATTCAATCTAATGTAATCAAATCTAATCTAATCTAATATTTCAACATTTTTTTCATGTCAACCATAAATTTATTCGTAAGTCTCCCCTCAAGTGGATTGATAACTTCTTCTAGTGTTAATCGTTTGTGATGTCAACAAAAGTGGTAAATTCGGTAGGTGTTGTTAAGCTTTTGAAGTCAATGTAGTTGCTAGATTATACGAGCATTTAAAGCTTAACTCATTTTTACATGAATGTAACTAAACAAAAATTACTTCATGATCAACTCAATTTTAATTAAAATTAATTTTACAGAATTAATTTATTTAAATCAAATTTTTGGTGTTTACTGGAAAAAATGATAAATAACCGCTGATCTTTCCAATTTAAAAGAATTGGTTTACGTATAAGATCGACCACACAAATCCTAGAACATGTGCTAGCAATTCTTAATTTGAGATTTGGAAAGTAATGAAGAGTTCATATTATCCATGATCTAACAACTAAAAACTTTGAAAAACTTAGAAGAAGTAAAGTGCAGAAAAATTGGATCAAAGATAGTTTTAAAAAACTTAAACACTAAATAGATGGATTTTGTAATAAAAAGATGAAATTGGTATTAAAATATAAAGACATGGTGTAATTAAACGTACATTTTTTTCGACATACTCATTATCTCTACATGCGAATACTTTGAGTATTTTCAGAAACTTTGTACAATCTTTGGAATACCCATATTCTAACACTAAGACCTTCTATTTATAATGGTAGAAAATAATCGACCCTAAAAATTACACCATAAACAAATGACAAGTGGCGCTCGGCATGTCTCTCTTCCTTGAAAAACTCCATGTGTCCTTCTTCATAAATCTGGATAAGAACGAAAATTTCCTCCTTTATTTGAATTCAAATTACGCGTCAAAATACCATCTTCGTCAAACCATCTTCAGAATATTTTTCTTCATGTCTTTATCCAACATTCCCTCTTGTTAGAAAGATTCTAAAGTCTTGCATTGGTTGAAGATAGAGCATTGAAATAGTTTATATAGAGTGACACCCTCACTTTAGCAACCGGTTTTGTAGGGTTGTGTTAGTTCAAACTCTAATATGGTATCAGAGCCTATCGATCGGACATTGGGCAGCCCACCGTTTAAAATCCACGTGCCAAGCCCAAAAAGAGTGCTGGTTGTGAGGGGGTGTGTTAAGAAGATTCTAAAGTCCCACATTGGTTGGAGATAAAACATTGAAATAGTTTATATAGAGTGACACCCTTCACCTTACCAACCGGTTTTGTAAGGTTGTGTTAGGCCAAACTCTAATACCTCTTCGCACAAATGGCCATTTCGACTAAATTAAATATAGTCATGTCGAAACACCTATTCATTACTTCACGTAACTCTTTTTATTATTTCTTTAATAAAAATCCAAGTCGATTCGACAATTAAATCGTTGAACTAGATTCATGAATCAAATGAGCTGAATATGAGAAAAAAATTAAGTTTGTTAACTAAATAAGTTGAACCTAAACATGATTCGAATTGTTAAGTTCATGAATCAACTTAAAAAAATTGAATTAAAATTTAAACTGAATTCATTGTTTAAGAAATCAAAACGAACTAAAACGAAATCATATACATCAATATGATCCAAATTAAACTCCTAAACTACTTCTACCGCCCATTACTCGTACTGTATACAATTCCCAACCTCTTTTCATTTCATTTATTGCACAAAAATATTCACTCAGTTCCCACTACACAAAACCCTGCCACCACCACCATTCACTCATTGCCAACACAACTACTGTATCCACCATTTCTCCTTTCTTTTCAGATCTAACACAAAAAATGCAAACTCATCTCACACTCACTACTCTCTTCCTCTACTTCTTCTTAACTCTCTCAACCTCCATCTTCGCCCATGATCAACCCCAACCCCAAGATCTAGTCCGTTCCTCATGCCTTCACGCCAGATACCCAAAGCTATGTCTCCGAACACTCTCCACCTACACCGGCCCCGCCAAAAGCCCTTTAGACATAGCCCAGGCCGCACTCCGGGTAAGCTTAGCCCACGCTAAGAGAGTTTCAAAATATATCGGAGCTTCTAATGTTGGTGCCCAACGCAGCAGCTTGAGTAAGCGCCAGCAGGCTGATCTCAGCGACTGCAAAGAGCAGATAGCGGATTCCGTTGATGAACTTCGGAAGAGCCTGGAGGAGTTGCAGCATATGCGACCGGAGACTTTCCGGTGGCAGATGAGCAATGCTTTGACGTGGGTGAGTGCTGCTCTTACTGATGGTGATACTTGTCTTGATGGGAATGTGATGCCGGATGTGAAGAAGAGGGTTACTGATCTTGCGAGAGTGACGAGTAATGCTCTTTACTTGATTAATCGTGTTGGATGAAGTGGGAATGGGGAGGTCAAGGGTCGTTCAAGATCCAGAAACTGAACGAGAACGACTCTGTTGGTTTTATCGTATGTAAGGAAATGACAGAAAGTAACGTGCTACTACTGTTTGTTTTTTTTATTTTTTTTATTGTTTGTTGAATGTGATTATGTGAAAGTGTGAACGGTTGTTGTAATTGATAGATGGTGTTTGTTTTTGTTTTACTCTAAGATAAATGGTGTTTGTTGTTAAGATGTTTTGTTTTTTTTTAATGATGTTTAGGCTGCTAAAATGTTTAATCATGTTAATCGAATGTTGGGGAGGTAGAGTGGATTGCATGATGGGGATAGGGGAATGTGACCACGCGAGAAAAGTGGAAAGTGATTATGAGTACGGAAATGTGGTTGAGATATTTTTCATATCTAAATTAGCAATTAGGTAGCCACGGCCGACGGATATTAATATACATAAATTATTTCTCCATTTAAAAAAAAAATATTAATTTTGCCTGTTTTACAATTATTTCTTCAAAACTTCGAAGTAAAAACTTTTACCACACACATTGTCAAACGATGGTTTGGTTTAGGGGTGGACAAGGAACCGACGCCCACTTGAAACCGTCTAAACTGAATAAAAAAAAACAATTGGATGAGTTCTTACGGATTATCGGATCAACGGGTTATTGTTTTCAGTTCTACATGGTTTATCTAGACGGATGCAGCTATTTATATTACACCCGTCCGAATTTGACACCGCCCGTGTATTTTAATCTTTTATAATATTGAAAGGTAGATATTTTTATTCATCTAAATTGTAACATACTATTTATTAACTATTTATTATTCCAATATTCTACTATACTAGAATAAAAATAAAGTTGTTTTCTTTTTCCTCAACTTGTTACATGTTCCAGTCTCATGCAACAACTCGGTTTAATCCATCCGTTCAACCCGCTAACAATAAAATCCGAAATCCGAGCAAACGAGATTTAGATGGGCGGTGATGGGCTGAGTTTTTCCGACCGACAGATTGTTGTGGATGGAGGTTTACGGCCCGAAACCACCTGTAACCATGTCCACCTCTAGTTTGGTTAATTGAAATGTCTAAAAAAAGGGTGTGAAACATGTTCCTGAATATTACCGTGGGTGTCAATTTTACTTATAATTAGTACAATAGTACTCCATTCGTTCTATATTATAAACAAATTTTATTTTTTAGATACATTAATTAATATTTAAAAAAGTAAAATTTGCTTATAATATAAAACAGAGGGAATAGTGATTATGCGTGTGACACGCTAAGTAAGAGATTTTTAGATAATAATTTGTGACAAAGTGATATCTTGAGCTAGTCTTCGAGCTAGATATATATAGCTCCACCTAAGCTAACTAAATTTGCATGTTATTTGGTCTATAATCTCGGCATGGTTTGCAGGTCATGTTGTATTAAGTGATGGACGACTCGTCACCGAAAATATAGGCTTGGGTCATTTATTTCATAACGGTTCACAATCTCTCAAGCACAATATCTTTAAAGGCGAATTGATTAAAATGGGACATGGCGAACTTCAATCTCTTAAGCACGAGATCTTTGTTGAAATTCAACCACGACCTATGGTGGATTCTTCTCAATCTTGATCTCAAGATTGTTATGTAATGACAATGAACAAAAGCAATAACATGTTTAAAGAAGATGAGTATGAATTGCAGAGTAACTCTCTACCCACAACTGTGTAATTTTATTATCACTTTGCAACTACAAAACCGTGATTATCAAACTTGATTGATTACAATGAAAAGGGTTCCTCCCTATTTATAGATTTAGGTTAACTTGCATCTCAAGATAAAGCCCAAACTATCAAATCCCAAAAATATCTAATCTAATCTTTCTAAATCAAATATGATCTTTCTAAATCAAATCTAATCTTTCTAAAACAATGAAACACATATTTAACACACCACCTAATTCATTGTGTCTAAACTATCTACATTCCACATAGACCTTAGCTTCTTGAACACTTCGACTTGCATTCCCTTCGTTATGATGTCTGCAATCTGATTCTTAGTTCTGCAGTGTTCAAGTTCATCTTCCCTTCTACTACCTGTTCTCGAAGATAATGGAACCTCATTTTGATGTGCTTGCTTTAACCGTGTGCTAATGGATTCTTCGCCAAGGTTATAGTTGACATGTTGTCGATCTTCATGGTAATTGCTCCATGACTCTCCGCTGTGATCTCATCGACCAGGTTCACCATCCAGGTTGCTTGACATGCACAAAGAGAAGCATATACGTATTCAGCTTCACATGATGGCAATGTCACTATTGGCTCCTTTCTCGAACTCCAAGCAATTGGTGTACCACTTAACATAAACACATAGCCAGTAGTGGATTTTTGATCTTCAGCATCACTACACCAACTTGAGTCAGTGTATCCCACTAACTTGCAATCTTTTCCTTCATTAGCTGCATGAAACAAAATGTTGTAGCTGAGAGTCCCTTTCAAATACCTCAGTATCCTCTTCATTGCTGATAGGTGTGATACCTCTGGCTTCTGCATGAATTTACTTACCATACCATATTGTATGCTAAGTCAGACCTTATGTGACAAAGGTATCAAAGTGACCCAATAAGTCTTCTATATTGGGTTAGATCGACATCATCTTCATCTGAATCCTTCGACAATTGCAATTTGGTCTCAATTGGAGTCGAAGTTGGATTGCAATCTTGCATCTCAAATCTCTTGAGTATTTTGCATGCATATCTTCTTTGGTGCTTCATCAAACATCTACTACTCTTGTAGAATTCGATGCCAAGGAAATATGAGAGATTTCCCAAGTCTGACATTTCAAACTCCTCACTTAGGTTATGTTTGAAATCTTCGATCTCCTTCTTGCAACTTCCTGCTATCAATAGGTCATCGACATAGAGGCATAGTATAAGCAATTCAATATGGCTTCTTCTTACATACACTCTATGCTCAATCGTACACTTCACAAATTCCTTCTCCTTTAAGAAGCTGACGATTTTCTCATTCCAAGCACTTGGATCTTGCTTAAATCCATACAAGGCTTTATACAGCCTGTACACCTTTCTTTATTCGCCTTGTTTCACATACCCAACTGGTTGTGCGACATATGATTCTTCTTCTAAGGGGCCATTTAGGAATGCACATTTCACATCCATCTGACACGTGTGCCAATTGTTCATGTTTGCTAGACCAACAATCAACCTGATTGCTTCGATCCTAGCAACAGGTGCAAAAAATTTATAAAATTCGATTCCTTCCTTCTGTAGAAATCCTTTCGCCACAAGTCTCGCCTTGTGTCGAGTTACTTCTCCTTTAGGGTTCACCTTCACCTTGTAAACCCACTTCACATTAATTACCTTCTTGCCTTTAGGCAATTCGAGAAGTGACCAAGTGTTGTTAACTTCGATGAAGTCTAACTCCTCATTCATTTCTTTCAGCCACTTCGAATCTTTCAATGCCTCATCTAGATTTACTGGTTCGACATCTGCATAGAAAGCATAACGTACCAGCTCACCCTCTTCATCGACCACATCATTTGATGTAATCGCACATTCTTGCAACCTTGCAGGAATGTGTCTTGTTCGTCGAGGTCTGCTTTATCTCTAACTTGTTTCTGTCGAACTTCTCTTTTGACTTCAGTGACTAGTTCTTCACAAGAGATTCTCACTAAATCCTTCTTGACATTCTCAATCCAATCCCATTCTTTAAGCTCATCTATGATCACGTCCCTGCTGATCACTACCTGCTTATTCATTGGGTCGAATTGTAACCTCCAGTCGAATGATATCCTATCAAGATCATATGATTTGACTTGTCATCAAGCTTCCTTCTCAACTGATCTGGCACATGTCTATGTGTTATAGATACAAACACCTTCAAGTGACTGAGGCTAGGCTTGACACCAGATCAACATTCTTCTGGTGTGATTCTTTCAAGCTTCTTCTTTAGACATCTATTTAATATGTATGTTGCTGCCGAAATCGCTTCTCCCCATAATTCTTTGGGTAAATGCTTTCTATTCAACATACTTCTCACCATGTTCATGATGGTTATGTTCTTTCTTTCTGCAATTCCATTTTGCTATGGAGTGTAGGGTGGTACCTGTAACACCCCGTTCCCCAAAATAAAATAAAACGATTAAAATAAACACATATCAGAGTTTTTCCCACAACAGGATGTCACAATTTCCAACAAAATTCCACAAATCATTTTCTAAACTGATTTTCAATAAAATTTGCAGCGAAAAAGAAATAAGTAGTCTGTCATATATCACATAACATATATACACCATCCATATCATCAACATCGTCATATACATCATGTACGACCACTGCCCAAAATATACATCCATCAAACTTCATTACTAATCCCACAAAATAAGTTACGCCACGGGGCACACATAATCATCAATAAACCATAAATACTCCCAAAAAGCCCCAGTGTTACGTATCAGAGCAATCCTATGACACCGCTACAGTCTAAGCTAGCTATACACCTGGATTGTCTGTACTTCCGAAGAAGCACAAACCACAACAACAACAAAAGGGTGAGAATTCACGATCAAATATTAACGGTATAAATGTACATGAAATAAAGGCAGAAATATATAAAACATCATTTCATATATAACACATTCGGAGCTACTGTCCCACCATCAACAATCACTACACACAACAATGCAACACATGCCACTCACACAATGATATGCAGTACCGACTCACAACAACGATTGACACCGGGCCATCAGCCCTCCACAAAGGAGCACACATCACCGATGGGCACTGGGCCATCAACCCTCCACACAGGGAGCACGACAACAATATCGATGGACACCTGGCCATCACCATCCTCACAGGGAGCACATCTCCGATGGTCACTGGGCCATCGCCCTCCTCACAGGGAGCACAACAACAATATCGATGGGCACCTGGCCATCCCCCTCCTCACAGGGAGCACATCTCTGATGGTCACTGGGTCATCACCCTCCTCA